TAATATCCTAAATGCTCAAAGCAGAGTACTCTCCAGGATAAGCCAAATCCTGCATATTTTGCTTTTAAGAAATGCCACAGCAGATGCAAAACCAGTAGGATTCACACTGATGTTTTCTAGGAAAGAAGAAAATCTCCAAAAAACCATAACCCATGTTTTAGAAGCAGCAGACAAATAAAAAAAGTTTCACTCTTGTACTGCATTAAACAGCATGTAAAACATTGTTTCTACATTTAATTTATTGCTTTAAGAGTTAAGATTCTTGCATTTTTGCACCCACATCTTTTAATATGCACCATAAACTACCTTTTCACAATTTACCAGCTACATTTAGGCAATTCTCCCCCTACCCAATTCTCCGAACTGCCCTTCTTCACAGCACTCCAGTGAAAAGAAAACTTTCATGGCAAGCAAAACTCCCCTCCCAGCAGAGGACTTGTTGCATTTGAAAGGCTGTTTATATCAGTATTGGGCAAGAAAAACCCCAAGCAGCACAGGAAGAAGCCGATGTAGAAACAGTATTCAGACATACTCCCAGAATATACAGCAAGGGTTCTCTATCTGCAGTACTAAAAGCAATCCACATTGACTGCAATTTGGAAGGGGCATATTAGGAGGTCCAAAGTGCTCAAAATGGTAAAAGCAAAAACTTCTTTAAGATTGAACCATGAAAGTCCACATACAGACGTTTTTGTGGTCCAGTTCAGTGGGGTTTGATCCAAGTTCATTTTCTGAGATTTAAATGTCCTCTGACAAGGCTTAACTGTGCAACTCTGATTGTGCAAAATTCCTTAAATAAGCTAAAATTAGTTCTTACTACATGTACATACATACTAAAGGTCACTAATCAGAGGTCCTGGGACATCAGATAGACTGAGGTACTTATATGGACAAAAGTAGACCTCTGTTACAGTTTTAATAGCTACAATGGTTTGAAGAAAAAAAGCCTTGCAAATAGTATTTGAGTTATTCTATCAGACAGTGGAGAATTTTTTTGTTGTATCAGTCATAAAAGCTATGTTTGCCAAAACACAGACCAAGGTTATCTAGCCAACAAAAAAAGCTTAGAAGAAAACATCTCTTTTCATATGGTGAAAGTAAATGAAGTCATGAAGCCACACAAAACTATGCTTCTTTAAAGTTCATGAAGTCAGTATAATTTGACAGTCAATAGGCTCCTGCCAAGACAGAACCACTACTGGTTTCCACCAACACTCTCATTTACTAGGAGACTTGATGAGATAAACAGAAGCAAGTTCCTCACATTTTTCATATCTAGGTCTCACATGACCTTGTGAAAGTTCACCTGAGTACTGAAACAATCTGTATGACTGCTCTGCAATACGAGGGGAGCATTTCGTAAGTGTGCTTGCAACTTTTGAGACTGAGATGCTCCACACTAATAATGGTAATTGGCTACTACCAACCTCCAGGATGGTGAATGTTGGAGCTGACAGGAATATTTATCTTCCCTTTTAATGAGATTTACTACACAAGAAACAACTTTTTACCATACAACATCAGATATGTTATTGAGATTCAGCACAGAGTGAGAATCCCCACAGGATACCCTAGAGAAAAACATGAATGGAACCACTCAGCAGGAACACAGCTACTCAGCATTCAAGACACCCACAACTTCTGACACATACACAGTACAAATGGCAGCACTGGACTTTACAGAGGCTCCAAGTCAGTTATTTACCTTCACCAGCCACTCAGCTTGCATCAATCTGCTCCAGCATTTGTTAGCAATTCATTAAACATGACAAACAGGAACCTGACTATAAGGCAAAGAGAAAAGTTTCTACTTCTTACAATTCCTGAAATAGAGCCCCAGCAATGGTCTTCATACTGGGCTGCCACATCTGTGCTCTGGGTCTTGTATACCCACAGCCCTGATCACAGTAAGGCAATGCTGAGTGGACACTTCCAGGAAAACCAGACCCATGAGCTGTTTACATCTCTCTCTGCCTCCTCACCCAATTCATACTTGACTTTTTCTACAATCTTTGTCACCTGGATAAGGAAGGCAAAAGATGCCTTCCTCCCACTGAAATGAAAATACTTTTCTTTTTCAGTTGAAGTGTGCTATAAAAAGACCCAGCAGCACTGGAGTTTGACATTCATCCTCATTTAAACTGAAATCTCTAAACAACCTACACTTCAGATATCAGTAAAATAAAAACAAAACTAAATTGCAAAAAAACCTTCTTATTCAAACTCCAGTAACTTTTATAAAGCAGAAATACAAGTGTCACAAGTTGTTGCAGTTTATAAACTCAAAGACTACAGAGATTGAAAGACCACTGAAATAATCTTAAATGACATTCAGAATTTTGCCAACACTCTGTTTTTGCTGCGGAAATCCTAGGTTCATGCTCTTCAAGGTGGATTTCAAGTGCTAAGGAGCAAATAGTACTAACTCAATTGGATAGTGAACTGTTTGCTATGTCAAAGCTTTTTGCCAAACACATATATATAATTTTTCTTTTTGCTATATGGATAATCAACCCCAGATGGCAATTTACATAGGCAAAGCATAAAGGAATCCATGCACTGCTGGTGCTCTCAGCCTCAATCAGAGCAAGCACGGGCATTTGAGAATGTCACTGTTTATTTTTAATTGCTGTGTCCCTCCTTTGTGCAGGTTCAAGCGGTCAAAGATGTCGAAGTCCATTAGTAGAACTGGAAGGTGATGCCACTTCATTTGGTGAGAGGGTTCTTCAAATTTAAAAAAAGCAGCTAGTTTGTAACGTCCCTAAATGTACCAGCTGTCAATCTCAGTTACCATTGGGTCAGGGCAAGGAAAGGTCAGAGAGAGTCATAAACCACAATGTGTTGTGAAATGTGCTTCCTCCGTTACCTTGTACCCCTGAGAAAGGTTTGACCTTTTATAGGTATCCTAACCCAGCTCTGCGTGATGCTGGCAGGGGCAAGTACAACACACAGCTCAAGCTTAAAAACATTGCTCCCTTTTACTGTGCCTTGGTTTCCATACCTGTGCAACATGAAGGTGAATGTCCTCAAGTTGCTAGTGCCAAAACGCAAAACTGTGCCCACCACTATTATGATCCCAAGGCATGAACACACCTTCTATTTCACACACAGCAGCGGAAGGTTTAATTCATTAACAACAACTGGAAAAATAACTAAAACCTTGAGGGAAGTAGTTAATGCCATAAGAGCCAAGTGATCTGGCTTGTCTGGCAAATGACTTGTCCATCTGCTCAGTTGCCTGTCACTTCAGTGACTACTCTCCCAGTCACCTGGGAAGAAAACCCACTAAAAAAAAAAGTCACACAAAGTCTTTTCCACTGTTGGAAAACACACAAAGTATATTTCCACTTTTAAACACCAATTCACAAGTTATTTACTATATTTTTGTCATTTCTTCCTTCATATGGATTCTCAAAAAGCAGATTTACTCCTAAACACATTTCTTCAAAACATTCTTGGACTACAGATGAAAAGCAGAATAGTCATTTCCAGATATAATCTAGTGATGCATTCTTTCTTTGCAAGAAATAATTACTCTGCCCTGTCTCCCCCATCTCCTGGAGCACAAAATGACAGGAAGTTTGGCAAATGCTATGTCAAAAAGAAAGCAGTGAACTCGCTATGCAAGGCCCTGTTTGGGCAGGAGCCATCTCCCACTCCCTGCACTCCTAACTACTTGGCCCTCTTTGGACCCCAAGCACAGGCAGGCCCAGGACTGAGAAAAGGACACAACAGCAAAGGAAAGAACACTGCCAAGTGGAAACCAGGAGAAGCTGAAGCTAGAGCTACAACCCCAGCAATCATAATCTGTGCAGGAATTGAAAGCATAGCTCCCAAAATAGGCTGCATGCTGTAAATTAGAATATGGGCAGTGAGGAACTCAACTGGGGAAGCAGAAATGTCAGAGTACATATGGTACAAACCACTTCTATGCAAATGGCAATAGCATACAAACTAGATGGCCACAGGTATCACTGAAGAGGCTGGCCAGAAATGAATCATCCACTATCAGCCAAATACCTCACTCAGGTGAGATCAGAATGCCTTGTGTAGCCCTTCACCTGTCCAAACAATACAGTCAAAATGAGAAAACAGCATGTTCACTCAATGAAATAGTAAGGCCCTTACAGTAAAATGACTTGAAGATAATACTGACAGCACCAAAAGAGTCCCATCCTTGCTTGTAGGCCACAACTTGCTGGCCCACAGACTCTAATCAGCTCAGTCCACTTTTATGTGGCAGCTGCAAAATACTCCTCAAGTCCTAATTCATTTTGGGCAATTAATATTAAGGGAAAATCAAAGCAGTGATCATCAGCACCTATGAAACAGATTTCACATGTTCCAAGCATAAAGTCACTTTGTTTTCTTTTAAAGGATGAATATATATTTTAAGGAAATTAAACAGTAACAACAGCTGAGCAGTTCAAAGGCCATTGGAAGGTCTCTTTGACTTTCTACAGGCTCTCTGAAGAGCCCAGTAGCAGCAAGCCACCTACTGCATCCCAGCAGTTCTCTCAGAACATGCTGACACAAATTAAAGCCTCAGCAAACAAAGAGAATGTACATCAAGCATTTCAATGCCCTCTTCTTGTCATTTCCTTTGCTTTCAGACATTTTTGGAAGCCTACCTGTATGGACTCTTTTGCAAACCTTCTCACTGCAGCATATCTCAAATGAGACTAACCTCCCTCAAACCTTGTTCAGTCCTTGGGTGCATCCCAGCTTGGAAATATGCCCACTTTGCTTCTCTGATTTGAAAGCCTAACATGCTAACCTAGATCAGTCTTCTCTTCATCCAGCTAAATTATTGAGCAGGTGACTTTACTGACTGCCTTATTTAAAAATTACTATGCCTCTCACTGTTATAAGCTGGCATAAGAGAATACAAAAATAAAAATTGAAAACAGATGAGTAATTTCAGACTGGATGAGAACACTCTCTTCTTTGTTGAATGTCTCTATCAGGAAAACCAGGGGGAATGAAAATGAGAGACTCACCTTCAGGGCAGGAATCTCCACATTGTCACCAAGGCTAACAGAGCCAGAAAGAATGGTCCCTGTCATCACTGTGCCTTGACCCTTGATAGAGAAACAGTGGTCAACTGCCATAAGGAAGTGTCCTGAGGGGTCTCTTGATGGCAGGTAAGCCTGAGACTTCAAGACCTGAAAAAAAAGATAAAAGCAGCACCATGCCTGGGTGAAAAGTCATGACAGCAACACAGCAGAAGGCAGGCAAGCAGATGATTGATTGAACAAGCTTGCAATTTTACTGATTTCAGGCATCTCCCAATGAGCTTAGAACTCACCAATGTCAAATTAACTGTGTGTGCCATAGGGGAGGTGCACACTTAGCAGCAGGAAAAGTTCGATTTTCTGCCTCAGAAAGATTTGGTGCTGCACATTTAGCTTGGTTAGCAAAACCTCACTGGCGATAAAGTTGCTGCCAAACTCAATATAAACACTGCAGCAAAGCAAAGAGGAAAAAAACTATGTGTGTCATCTCCCCCTTTTTCCTCCCTCTCTCAAAAGCACAATTTTACAGAGCATTTTGCTACTTCAGCTTTTTTGGATTTTGTGAAAATGAACTTACGCACAGATATTAGTGCCCCATAAAGCCCATCTCTGACTCCCTCCCAGAAAAACTCTAATACTGGGTTAAGTTTTCAAATTCAACTTCCCCTTCAGATTTTTGTTAGTGCTTCTTGAAGGATCAATCCATTAGGAAAAATTACCTAAGTACCGTTTTCTAGAGAAATTCAGAGTTTAGCGGGGATTTTTTTGTTGACAAATACTATGTTTCTTAAAATATATAATCAGACATATAATTTTTATAATTAAAATATTATAAAAAGGAAGTCATGTACTCAACAGTGCTTCAAAAGAACTGGTTCACTCCTGTCTCAAATCACTTTTGATATCTCTCTCTGTTATATCACCTGCATGTACAATTGGCATTGCCTTTAACATCTGTTTTTAAGGTCAAAACCTGCAGTCCAAGCCCAGGTTGCAATGGCAGAACAATGGAGAGTCTCTTAGGAAGGACAGAAGGGATAATAGCTCCAAGTGCAATGGCAGGGCTCACACAGCATTTGCCAGCTCATCTAATATTAGGTTTCAGTTGACAAAACAGCTGCAATGAGAGTTTCCTTCAAAGGTTGTAATCCTGGAGAACATCCCAGTAAATCTAACAGGAGTCAGATAAAGGCAGAAGTAAGCACTTGCATATCTCCTCATCTCTAGAAACTGCTGGGGGCAGATTTGGCCTGGCTAAATCTAGTCTAAGGCCACACTACATCCCATCCCCAAGCCATCCTGACTCACACAGCCTGTGAGGTGATGCAGCATTCAGTGCTCAGCAGCCTTGTGCAATATCCTGCCTTTACACAAGCCTGGCTGCCCAGGGCCAGGCATCCCTAGATTTTTGACTGATGCTGCACCTTAACTTCAGCAATTTATAAGTACTTTAAACCTGGCAGCATCCAAATCAGAATTTGACAAGTCTTCAAAGAATGATGCATTTGTTTCTGCTGTCTGATGCAGCAGTGGCATCCCTCCAGGGCAAAGATGTTCCTCTCCCTAAGCTAATGACAGAAAGGATGAAAAGTCTATTGCAAGCTACAAACTGCTCTCAGTTATTTCAGGTGTCCTGCCCTTCACAGTGTAAACATCATGCCATGTAACTAAGGGTTTTGAACATCTGAGAATGGATGTTTTCATGTTATCATTATGTTCTTCAGCAAGTACCTCGATTAATTCAGAAATACCCTGTGGATTCTCAGACTCTGGGGCTTCTGGTCCACCAGGCTTTGCTGCAACAGCAACAATAGGACACCCAGAGAATCTGAAAGAGAGAGAAAGACTTTCACCATTAGACCACAGATCTTCTACACATGTCAATACAGAGAACTACCAGGCTACTCTGAAGGCTAGGAAATTCCCTAAAATTCCAATTCATCTGCTCTTCTCCCACTGTGACTGACAATTTCTTCCTGAATTACCAGCAGATCAGCACTACTGGACTTCACTATGAAAGTCCCATTAGCTACTGATCCAGTGTTGTGACAGTCAAATGCAAGATTCAGTTCATTTCAGAAGCAAACATCTGCTGTTACCCAGTATTAATGCAGTGGTTTGCATCCAAAGTCACTTTACCTGGAGACTAGCACATTTTTAACTTTCATTAAACAATTGAAATTCTAAAGTCATAACCTTCAAAACAGGAGCCAAATGCAAGATGCCTCATGATGCCCACCTGATTCTGCAAGATCTGTAGACAACAGAAAGATGTAAATCTACTGAAATCCAAGTCTGCAAAACTCACAAATCTCAAACACACAAGGGTTCAGAGAGGAGCAGTACAGCCAGCTGGCCTCAGTTTACCTTTTATGCTACAATCAGTTTTATTCTTCAAGTACTTAATTAATTATTTTGGCCATCCTCTTGACACCCACCCCTCACTGATTTTCTCACAAAAGGAAGCAAGCTGGAAGGAAGAGATGGGGCTTTGCTAAAGAAATGTTAAGTTCTAGAAAGGGAGCTCACTCAGTGACCCAGCTGTAATGAGGCACATGAGGTATTTTCTTTGTTTACACGCCATAAGCCTGAGGCATCTAAGGACAAAGGGTACTAAAAACATGCACTGAAAATTCCTGTGATTAACCATAAAACTTTTTGAAATTTATTTTCATACATGTATTTCAGAGCACTGTATTGCAATAAACAAATTTATGTGTAACCAAATGTTTTACTCCTCTTCCCATACACCAGAACAAGCTGGAGTAATTGTATAGTGCATTTGGAGGCACTTCTAAACATGATCCAGCCCCACTGAAACTCTTACTCCATCAAACCAAATTTCTCTCTACAGAATTTAGATCCTGCTGGACAAAGCAAGAAGCTGATGAGCAAAAAATTTTTCAAAAACAGAAATTCCGTTCATAGAGACAGTTTGCTTTTAGTTTAGATAAATTCACAAATATCAAACTATTCAAATATATAACAGTTACCTTTCTCTGCCTTTTTTTTTTTTTTGGCCTTCCATACAATTTCCTGACAACATTACAATAATTTCCCCTGTATTGGTGGCAACATCTACTCTACAACTGCAACAGCCTTCAGCTTTGCTGACTGCTATGGAATTCCACATGCATACCTATGTGTGTAGTGAAAACATTTCAACAAGTAAACTATTTGAAAGAAAAACAAAAACAAAACCCCACAATTGGCATTAGAGGCAATTGTCAAATGGTATCATCTATCCTGCTAAAAAGAATAGTTCAGGAATACATTTGGAGATTCAAAGTCAAGTGGGAAAAAGGCTGTTGAGAAACTCCACGTGCCTGAGATACAACAGGACAGGCACACTGCAATCACACCCAGATCAGCAGTGCTTTCAAAGCACCATCAAGCACAGACTGCACATGCCAAAATTGAATTTTGGTTCTCTCTCCTGTGTATGCTGAATCCTGTTCTTTAGATTCTTCAACTCAAAATGTGACCCAATAGTTATGTCCCCTTATATCCCTGAGCAAAGCAAAGATGTGCTATAACCACATCCAGCAGTTCTTCAACTGGATATTCTGGCTTTGTATTATCCTATCCAAACTCCAAGCAGCTCTTTGAACCTAGATGCTTAATTACAGGAAAACATTTCTCTACACATGATACTTGCAGATGTTAATTTGGAATTGCCTCTGAGCTTCTGTAAATCTTTTCACTCTCTTGTCATCATTTTTGCTAGATGTGCCAGTATGTTTAGAAGCACATTGGAAGAGAAATGTTGGTATTTCTGCCAAAGCAAATTTTGTGACAAGTTATCTGTTAGTATTACTGTTCACTTACTTGGTATTTTCCAAGGTCTTCTGCATTTTCTTAGTCATCTTCTCAATGGCACTCTGTCTCTTCCCCTCTGGAAGGAGATCTATTTTGTTCAGGACTACCACCATCTTCTGGCAGGCAATTTGCCCAATTACCAAGCACTCTGCTGACTGTGTCTGCATCCCTTTTGTCACATCTATCACAAGCATCATTAAATCGATAATCTGGGCACCTGGAGGAGAACTCACAGTCAGTATTGCCACAGCATAAAAAGATTAAGGATCATTTTCTCAAATTGTTTCCATTTAAAATTGTCAACATATGTACAAATGCCCAGAAAGACAAACAAAACACAAGTCAAAGTAATCACTGAATTCCACAGCTCTTTTGAAATTAAGACCTTGGGCATTTAAGCTATTATAGGCTATCACTGAGTCATAAGAACCAGGGAAGAATGTGATAGTTCAATTCTAAGGCTGTTATCACTGCATTAAAAAATACTAAGAAAATTAAGCTTGTAGTAACACAGGCATGACATTTGCCTCAATTAAAAATTATAATCTAAGCAGCCAAGCAAGAATCTAATATAGGCAAAGAAACACACAGCAACACTGCAGGGAGCTGCACACTCAGAGCAACCCCAACAAGAGCCAGCCAGGTACCCCATAAAAACACCCACAAGCCTCAGTCCCTACCTGCTTCCCACCATTTTTCTTTCCAAGCCCAAAATTTCATAAAAGGGAAAACCGTGATCACCACCAGAGACAGGTTTATCCCAAGTCTAAAGAACTTCCTGAATCCCTCGGTGTTAGAAAGAGGCAATTTAAAACCTGCAGTGTATTGCCATTCACTCCCAATTCAGATCCACACAACTTGAACAAGTAATTTCAAACACAGGAACCGATCTGATTCCTAGACCTCTTCGTGGAAAGCCTCCTAAATTTTAGGCTGACATTACCTATCATGCTTATGAATTATTTTTATTTTTCGAAGTATTGTTGTCATGAACCCTTAATCTTTTGATTGAAGCAACCTGAATTTCATGGATTTAAATTAGTTTTCAAGGAAGCTTTTGATGAACATTGGGCCTTCCACTAATTACATTCAGAATTTTCTTGTTTCATTTTGAGGTAACTGAAATACTCTGAATACCAAAACAGAAAAGTGCAACAGATTCAAGTGTTGAGAAAGTAAACATAAAAAAGTAACAAAAAATTAAAGCTGAAGTACCAGAAAGTCATATGCCAAAAAAAGCACATTTTGAAAGATGATAAAAGCTAGAAATCATGTAAAATTCCAGTTCTCTAAATTAAGTACTTTTAATATTGGCCTTAAGATCAGAAGAACAAGAAATCAATACAACTGTTCCTTGTTCCTCCACGCTGTCCAGCCTTTCCCTTGCCTTTTTTTGCTTTTAAGGCTTTTACAATGGCTACGACAACAGCTCCCCTTGTTCCTAGTTCCCATGAACTCAGGATAGGAAATCATTCCGAGGTTGAAGTGCATGGGTGAATGAGTGGGTGGGAACTACAAGAAAAAAAAATTATGGCTACAAATGACTATTTCAACCTACCAGACCTTTCATCTTGTAATAATGAATGTTAAGCCCTTCAGAGAACTAGTTGGATAATTATGGTATTTCCAGTGCTCCTGCAGAATTTTCACCAATCATTTCAAGTATCTCTCTCTGACAAACCAAAGATGGGCTTTATATCTTCAAAAGCAGTTTGCATTTTTATTGTCTCAGGAATTGCAACACAAACATCATCAAGACTTTATAAAAGGCTGAGACTTTATACACCACTCAAGTCCACACTTAAAGGTCAGAAACCAAGGGAAACAAACAGCATGAAAATAGTTTAAATGGGACAAAGCACTTAACAATCAGAATGGATCAATTTTTGTGAATGCATAAAACAGGGCTGTTTTAAACCTAATACACATATTTTGTATTACACTGTTCTTCACAGCTGACATCCTCAAAAGGAATGGGAATAAATAATGAAAACCAAACCATCAAGTCCAAATCTTTATTAATACTATAAAAAGGACATTCTGGTAACACACCAATGCTGCAGCTTGAGCCTTACCAAACATTACTGTGACTACTAAAGCACAGTGATCCTCATGCTCTAGAACTAAGCCAAAGCCACCAGATCCAAGCCTGACCCTGAAAAGGGCAGCTGATAAGAAGCAGTATTTGCAGTGTGGTATCTTTTCCCTCCAAAAGAACACAAAATCTGCACTGAACTGTAATATGTAGTTTCAGTAAAAGGAGTCACTTTACCTTGAAACTCGAAATCAACTGCTTCAAATTCATTTGCTATACAGCAAACGCTTGCAATTGCTGTATTTATGAATCTATTAGCAACACTTTAAAAGAGCCATAAAAATGACTGGCCCTGCTGCTAGAAGGTTGAGAATGTCTGCCTTGGGGCATTGCCTCATCTTCATAGAAGATGAACAAAGAGAAATAACTGTCATTCCATGGAAAAACTCCAGAAACACCGGAAGATATTCCACGGCACTCCAGACAAAAAATACTTCAAGTCAGGGAAAGCAGCAGCACACACAAGTTCACAAACACTGTCAGCACAATTATTGTGCCTCCTCCAAAGCCCCAAGGTACTGACTGGCCAGAGCTCCTAAGAGCTGGCACAAGATGGGACAGAGGGCACAGCAGGCAGAGCTGGCACATGAGCAGGGTGGGAAGCTGCTGCCCTTCACAGCAGTCGTGGAGCCACAGCAAAGACCACGACAGCTCTGACAGAAATACCTGAACTGTGCTCTCACCGAGGCATGAGGAGGCTTTGTGATGTTTGTGTGTATTTACTCATGCATATCAAGGCAGGAGTGCTCAGGTTTGCAGGACCCTTGAGTAACAAGGTGGAAAAATAATGTAAAAACTTGGTACCTCAACTTTCCCTTTTGAGCTGTTTAATAAACCATCTTTGACAATTTACCTTCTTCTCAATCCCCCATCTTCTCCTACATAGTTTTACATTTTGGTTTATTCTAGAACCCATTTCTTTCATTGCACATCAGCCATGAATAAAGTTCATTAAATACCTAAACAAAATCATCTAGAGCAGTGTAGAAGGATTCACCAATGTCACATTTAAAATCAGGAAAGCTGGCAAGATGACAAAAGTGTAACTCTCCCAGCTACCACAGAACACCTCATTCAATAAATTTTCTCTTCATAACACATAAATGGTAATAGCAGACTTAGAATATGTTCAAATTCACTACTTAAATAATCTCCAGTAAACAATCAGCTTACTATCATATCAGAGTTCAGTCAACAAAAGGAGCAATATTTCTGAATAATTTTTTGCAGCAGAGTAAGATTTAACAGTGAAGCAAGGATGGACTATATCAGTACTCGCATGAATACAACTTCACTTGGAAAGATTTTTCAATTGGGACATAAAAATATTACAGATATACTATGTGGAGACTCAAAAAACAGTAACAAGAATAAAAAAAGGTAGAAAATATTACTCACACCTGCACTATCTGACAATATAATATCAGCCATGGGGTCTTGTGCAAAATGGAACAGAAGAACTGAAAGAAGTCATAGGACAAAAAAAAAAGCATTCCTCAAAACTCCTCAAAAAGGAGACAGGATATGGGCATACATAGTTAAGCAAGTAATAGGGAAGAGATTATGGACTATTTGAATATTCTTCAAACCTTCAGAACAAGAAAATGGCTTGAAATTACTTTGAACAAAGCAGAGACACCCGCAAAGGACAGGTCTGCATACAAGGAAGCACAGCAATCAAAAACATTTTATCTGCACTGAAGCAGGTCACATAGAATCAATGAAAAAGTTAAACTAAGATACTCAAATTATTTCTTTTACAGAGAAAACAGGGGTGTAACCTTTTATTTACCACTTCATCTATGAAAGACATGTTCAAGAACATTGAAAAGATAAATCCTGACATGTGATTTCTCACTTTGCTTGAAAATGAAAGATCAATTATTGGAGTACCCTTTGCGTGATGACACACAGCTCAGATGAAGCCCTGTAAAAAGCAAATGAAATAAACAAGTTGTCATCAGAAAACACAAGGGGGTGGAGAAAGATGGGAATTATACTTCCAAGATAAGCAGCTAGACCACAGCAAAAATAAAGTAGATAGTCTGAGTGAAGAAAAACAAACAAGAAAGATAAAACATGAACTGAGAGATTCTGGATGACAGCCAGATACAGGAAAAAACAAGACCAGCAGCACAGCATCACAAAGACTGCAAGTGCCTGGAGGCAGCAGCACTCATTTGTATCACAAAAGTGACAGGGAACACAAAACTCAGAAAATAAGAAAAATACCTTCAGAGACAAGATAAAGAAAAGGTCCATCTACTGCTTTGAACACACAACCCATGCTAGCTCCTGAATTTTGAAGAGTATCTGATTATATAAAGTCATCAAGGAAGTAATTTATTACTCTTTACTCAGGAGATTAGTTGAATCACAGATGTCAGAGATTATGACAGATTTCCAAAGAGCAGAAGGAAGCAACTCAAGCTTCCCTAAAGTGCACTTGCAACATCATTCCTAGCTAGCTCTCACTCTTGGATCCTGAAAGAACTCACCAGCTCCTGCCTGAGTACACTGAAAAAGAACAGTATGCATTTTACAAGTACGTATTGATCAGCTGTTAGCCTTTTGGAGAAAATTCACTGCATTCTCTACATTTGCATTATTTCATTTAATGTATCTTCAAACCTTTTCCAAAATAGGAAAAAAAAGCCTGCCCAGAGTTCTAGGAAACAATGCTGCAGACCTTCATCCCCTCCATCAAATTCACTCCTCATAATTGTGCTTACTGTCACACCGAGTTAGTAAAAACCAGCTCTTATATCAGCGTTCACAGGGAAACACCATGGGAGTACCCAAGATATCAGATGCGTTTTGGAAAACAGTAAAGCACCATAACTGCCATGTTTTATTCTGGAACAGAACATTCCATATAAATAACAAACCTCCTTCAACCTCAACCACAGAGGCTGTTGCAGTTCTGCATGTACATGACCCCAAACCACCTTCCATTTGTGCAGCCTGCTGCATGCTTGGGGTAAATTTTATACCCCAGCTCCCAGACTGAGCTGCATCCCTACAGTAAAACATAATATTAACACTGATTTAGAAAAAAATGACATTATTAGATCTAGGAAGACAAACAAACAAACAGTTCAGCCTCATGTATTAGTAATACA